TTTGTGAAAAAGTTGGATAATGCGGCAACTTTTGCTAGTCTTTTTAGCCGTGGAATAATTAGAGAGGCACAATGTGAAATAATCCCAAACCAGAGGGGGTGTAGTGTAATTTTAACATCTTAAGGACATTTCTTGCAATTATCAAATACCAGCGGGCATACAAATATATTTTTTTATTCAACGATATCTTAAGGCACTTAAACGAGTGAATCCATTTAAAAAAGTTCACACACCCATTAATCCAAGTTCCATAGCCATTTAGAAAAAGGCAAAACGAAGCAATAAGAGTGGAATTGAAAAACCACGCGTCGTCGTGCCCTCCTTCCCCTCCCCTCCCCTCCTTAAGGAGTTTTCTTTAAACAATCCTCACAACCCTTCTTTTCTCTCTCTCTCTCTCTCTCACCGCACCAGAAAGATTTCTTTCAAAATCTTGTCACCACCACTACCAACAGAATCAATCAGAAGAAGGTATAGATGTTCTTTTCATTTTTGTAACTTCTTAAACAAAATTATGTGCTCGATGAATTTTCTTCGCAAATGATTTTATATGTAATCTTCACTAATTTTGATTTGCCAATGGTATTAGCTTTACCTCTATAGAATCTGAAAAACTCTTCATGTTTATCTGCAACTGCAGGGATATTTTATTTGATTCTAAAGCCTCTTCGTGTTTTTCTGCGAATGATTTTCATTTGAATCCTGACCTCATCATCATTCACTCTTGATTATGGGGTCGTCTTCGACTTCGATCTCTGATCTCCAGCCGAACTCCAACTCCGACCGATTGCCGGAATCGAAGCAAAAAAGGCGAGGAAGAATCGCAACTGACAATGAAATCCAAGATGTCCAAATCAATCAAACACAATGGAAATCCCCGTTCGAACAACAGATCTACTCAACCAAGCTCATCGAAGCCCTCCGTCGAGTCCGCCGGAACCCAAACTCTCCGGCCTTTTCTCCCTTCACGACTCGCGCCGTCCGAGAGACAGCCGACCAAGTGCTCGCCGTTACTGCCAAAGGAAGAACTCGCTGGAGCAGAGCCATTATAACCGCTCGGCTCCGATTCAAACTCAATCAAAAAAGTAAAAATCACAAGAAATTAGGCAAGCTGGCCGGCGATGTCTGGTCGAAGAAACGGTTGGTCAAGAAGAGGCTACCGCCGTTACAGCGAAAGGTCAAGGTTCTCCGCCGGTTAATTCCCGGCTGCCGGAAACTCTCGTTCCCGATTCTTCTAGAAGAAGCCACCGATTATATAGCCGCTTTAGAGATGCAAGTCCGAGCCATGACCACTCTCGCGGGACTCCGCACTGGCTCAGCCGCCGGGTCTTTAGCCGCCCCTTCCGTTCAGCTCGGCTCCAATCTCTGTTAGCCATGGCTTATTACTTTGCCGAGGTGGTTTTTCCTAAAGCCTTGTTAATTACTGGGATTATAAATCCGTGTATTTTATTGTATAAGTGACTTTTTCCTTCCCTCTTTTGGGTTCTTTAAAATTTTTAAATATTTTGATTGGTTGATTGAATCATGCCAACTAATTTTGTAGTTATTATTTATCTAAACAGACATTTGTTTCCACTAACCTAGACAACGGCTGCACAACAATGTTTGGGTTTGCATGGGACAACCTATAATTGGTGGTTGCGGGTTTTAGCCCCATTTACTTCTCATCCTTCTCCCCCAAAAAATGTAATTGGATTGTCATATTAAACCATTACCATCATGTCCCTTTTGGAATTGTGTTTACAAAGATAAATTTGAGTTGTGCATAAACACCCACAAATTATATGTATTATGTTTGTCAAAAATCTCTTATTAAACTTGAAATACGAACGTCGAGTTAATAACCCCTATGGCCTCCTTGTCCGAGCAAATGTGATAGGTTACTTGCAAAGGGTTGGTAAGGCCTACTAATTTTGTGTTTGAAATTGGATCATGTTTTCATGGTTACCTGAGTTATGTAATCTTTTTGGTAATCATGTGAAACATAGGGCCTTATAGGATTTTTTTATTTTTTTTACTATAGGATTACCTTTTTCCTTTCACACGAGAGCAAGCCTGCCTCAAAGAAAATGAAAAAAAAAAAAAAAAAAGGGAGACAGCTAAGAGGGAACGTTCAACATTAAAAAAAAAAAAAAAAAAAAACGGAGCTTGGGTCGGCAGGGCATGCTCTTATCGTAAGATACTATGATTCCACTCTACTTTTGGGTCACTTGTTTGATGAGCTAAGCCTACACGCCACATAAGTCCAATAGTTAACCTCACAACTAAAAGTAAGGTCCTCTTTTTTAACTAGTGTTTCGGTTTAATGGCAAAAAGTAAATCTCGACTTCAAGTATAATCACAAATAATAATAAGTGATAAGTAAGTGCATGCGTGGAGTGAATCACAAATAGTAATATGTGATAAGTGCATGCATGCATGCATTCAGTGAATCTCAATCCCTTTTGTATTGTATAGTGGTTATCAAATAGATAAAGGGTGGTCTTACTTTGTGAAAAGTAAATCATACTATTCCACCTTAGCTCATCTATAAATAGGGTTTCCATATTTTAGATATGAGTAATATTATTTGAACCTAAAAATTTGATCTAATTTTCTGACATAATGATATGACTTCATAGAAATTATTGGATCAATACTAAGTTTCAATGTTTAATGGGATCTACATTGAATCCAAATGTCACAGTAAATTAGGTCAACAAATTATGTCAGTAAATTAGGTCCCAATAACATTGTTCTTTAGTATTTTGCCTATTCTTCATTTCCCTTCATTAATTTTTGTTTTGGACAAAGGCAACTACTGGAATACCATGCCAGCCCGCATACCATATAGCTGTGGTTCAAAAGTTGAGTTTAAATAGAAATATGAATTTTATAAGTTTGTCACACATGAGTTTTTGATAAATATTTAAATTGCTAAATACTATACAAACATGAACAGGGCCTCTTAGAGTGTATACCAAACTCCTCCTCTATTTGGGTCCTTTTGTAGGTAGTGTTTGGTATTGGACTTCTTGGCCTTTTTAGGTTCTTGTGATTGCGGTATGATGTTGGCTAAAGTAGTAAAAAATTGTGTTTTCAATTTTTGCATTTTCATCAAAAAATAATATAAAATGCTCCTCCATGTATATATTTTTTTTGATGAACAAGAGTCAAACTACAAACACAACTCCTTAAAAAGAAGAGGTGGGTTATGTCCACCCCTAGAATGTATATAATACCATGAGTTCTATATTATTAATAAAGGAAGAGGTGGGGGTTATGTCCACATATATAATACCATGATTTTTTGCATAAAATTTATAGAGTAATGCTACACTCACCAAAAGGGGGATAAAAAAAAATGATCAAATGATGTGACATTATCACAATAAAAAAAAAAATTAAATTTCAAATGTATAAAAGTCCGATCACCAACACTATTATGGGTAATGTCACATTACTTGGTCTATTTTCTTTGTCAGTCTAACATTATTTAGTTAAAAAGAGAGGAGGTGATTTAGTGTCTACCCCTAGAATGTACATATGACCCTCAATTTTTTCCAAAAGAATTATTCATGACTTCTGATGGGTCAAGCCCAAGAGCTTAACTCATGTTATAAGCTCAAGGGCCCAACTCCAAGAAGTCTAGTTAGTCAAGCCCAAAGAAGTCTGTAACCAGTCAAGCTCATCAGGTTCCAAGACTTACATCAGTAAAGGAGCAAGTAGTGTCGTCTAAGAGCTCAACTAAGAGTCTCTTCTACCACCTTGGAGTAAGGGTCAGCAAAGAGCCTCCTCACTACCTTAAAGTAAGGGAGCATCTAGGAGTCTCACCCTCGCCGCTCGGAGAGAGTCAACCTTCCCTCATTCTTTGACCAAGTCATTTGGAGAGGATCATAACTTCCTGACCCATTGAGGAGAGGAGAGGTCGCTAAACTATTTAATTATCGTTAAAGTCACCCCAATCTGTTATGACTATTAAACGGTCCCAACTTGTTATGACCATCAAACTAGTTATTCAATTACTATACTAAGCCATTATAAATTGTAAGCCCCATCAACACTTGGGGGGCATCAGATTCATTCGAGATAATTCTCTCCTCCTCTCTCAAAGCTTGTAACTTATTGCTCTCCTTGCACACCGGAGTTAATAAAATATCAGCGACCCTTACCATTCAAAGTGGACGTAGGTCACATTGACCGAACCATTATAAACTTTGTCTTCCCTTTCCCTTGACTTCTCAATTACTGCATTTTATATTGCTTACTTGACAGGTGGTATGCAAACCAATTTGTGAATTATCAACTTCCTCTTCTAATTTTATTGAACTGTTATTACTCATGAAACATCAGTATTACACTTCATTTTTTTTTTCAAATAACCACTCAATTTTCTTTTTAACCTTATTACATTTTCTAATTCTCTTTTCGCATGGATAACCGTATGTGTAGAACTTGTAGTTGCTTTTAGTAAAAGGAGAGAAGAGTTATATGGTGTCCCCTCCATATAAAAAGTCACAACATTCTTACTCTCTTTCCCCTCCCCCCCCCCCCCCAACCACCCATAACTCTTTCTTGAACTACATTAAACCGCCTAGGTTATTATAGCCACCCCTATTAGAAGTAAATATTGAATGTAACAGTTAGAGCATATCAACATTATCACATAGTGTAATTGTTCATTGTTAAATAAACAAATGTACAAGGTGACCCCACTATAACCATCTATCACTAACAACCTAAAATATGGTGATGTCATAACAACATAATTTTTAAATACCAAATTTACCCTTTCTTTCCCATCTTTTTCTCTTACTTTATTGGAACTACACCACCCACCCATCTCCTGCAACCACCTAAGTTGTAAAACTACCATGGTAGGGTAGTGATGGTTTATTTGTGTTAAATTGTGATGTGCATAACCTACAACCATTGTCCATCCAATCCCGTGGATACCCAAAGAAAATGCAATACTCTCTAAATACAACTTCACTTGAATGAACATGTTTGTATCTGGCAAAACCAAAGCTATGAAACCAATGGTAAAACCCTCCCATATTTTACATTAATTCCATTCCATGAATGTTTGGCTTCCAAATCCAATAGCCAATGCAATCAACAAATTCAATAAAAACTCAATTCAATCAACCAATCCTAATTCAATTAGGTCTCTATAGCGAAGCAAGGTGATGATCCTTCAAGCAACCTTCCCCCCTCTCCTCAAATCACTCAAGAATACTTGTAGACATTTAAAATTTAGCAAATAAAATAATAAATGATTGTAATTTAAGATTTTTTTTATATTAATTTATATACGAAATTTGATGTTACAATACTATTTGTTAGTACACCTTGTCCAACAAAAACAAATAGATCCACCAACACTAAATTTAACAATTCAAAAATTCATCCAAAAAACAGATAAATTGTGAAACCCAAGCATGCAGAATGTTTTATTTTATAAATTGTGTGGGTTAAAGTGAAATTTATGGAAATTTGAATTTATTTTAAATTGTGATAATTAAACTCTGGGAATTAGAGCACGTTTTAATTGAGCAATGTAATTGTAGAATTATGAGGTAGTGGGGAGCAAAGTGGAACTTTGGAAGTGTCGAGAATACTTGAGTAGTTAAATTAAGAGATAAGCAAAACATGAGGAGGCTTTAGTGTAAATGAGATAATTCTTGCATGAAAAGGACACCCGGGATGTGTCTTGTTTCTTCATCCATGTGCTTTGAGAAAAAAATATAAAAAGGAGAAAATGGTTTTAGGCGGTGAGTGGAAGGAAATAGAAGAAGAGAAGAAAAACAAAGGAAAGGAAAAAGAAGAAAACTTAAGGGTTCGGAGAGTGAGATTCGTTGGAGTTGCTCTTGCATGTGCTCTTGAGTGAGAGAAACCTTCATCTTTGAGAGTTGTATGATCCTTGTGTGAGTAAAAAAGTGGTGTAGGGTTGTGTTGAAGCATTGAAGTGAATTCAAAGCTCTTAGGTGGGAAGTCGGAGGAAAATCAAATGAATTGGGTCGCAATGGAGGTACGAGATTCTCATGAATTTCTATATATTTCTACTTCTAAATATGTCCTTTAGGCTTGGGTAGATGTTATGTGGTGTTAAAATTGGAGTTGGGTGGAAGAGGAAGAAGTTTGGACTAAATTCTGGAGTTTTGGTGTTGTTCAACCGGTTGAAGCATGTGGTTGAACCAGTTGAACATTTGGTGATGAATAGGTTGACTAGCTCCCAATACTTTGGTGTTGAGTCTGATAAACCGGTTGAACCAGCTGGACTTCAACTAGTTGATCATAGCCTCTCCGACGTCTTGTCTATCTTCGCTTAGGTTCTCCACTACAATGGATCCTCTAGGCCTAGGCAATCTTGGGCGCACCAACGATGCTCAGTATGCACATTCCAATGAGTTTGTTTTTCAACTAATCAATATCTTTTTCACCAAGTTTTGAGGTTTGATAAGAATCACTATATAGTAGCCTTGGGTCTGAGGGATCTAGGATCTAGGGTTATGGTAGAAACTCTTTATGTAGAAGATAAGATTTCTTTCTCAAAATACTCACAA